GTCATCTGGTGGAGTTTGCATCTGGATATGGATCTTTTAGCATTATTTCCTGCTAGAATTATTTTCAGTCCTACTTTAAAAGTTGTGGAGAGGCAAGGCTAGAGGGAGGGAAAGCGCTGCTGAAAGCCCTTTTCCCACAGGACAGAGATCATATGCCACATATGAGATGTTTCATTCTTCTCAGGACAAATTTTAAATGGCAGTTTGACTTATTGGATATTTTATAGACCTATTAATCTGTCTCTGTCTTTAAAGTTATGTGGTCCTCCTTACTGAAGCTTCTGGATGCCTTCAGAGTATATAAAAATAGCAATATCAACAATCATTCTTCCTTCCCATCTCACAGGAGAAAAAGTAGGGTAGTTCAGAGCATGCAGAACTTAACAAGGAGTTACAAGACACTCTGGTTTTGAAAATCATTGAGCTCTGGTCTTTCTTATTTCTTTGCTCACAAACTATTATTCCCATGCTGACCCCAGTACATGAGAGGTCACACACGTGTAAAGGCTCTTCTTCACACATCATGCAACATGTAAAAGTCCAAGACTTTTTAGCTGCCTTCAAATTAAAATGTTATAAATTTGCATCGAGTGTTGTTTTATTATTTTTTTTTACAGGAAAGTAATGCTACCCCTGCAGAACACCTGTGAGGAAGTGACAAGCACACAGGGGGTTTTTCTTCTGGGCTTTCCTGTCTCAGACACTGAAAATTCTCCCATCACCCTCAACTTTTGTTATTTTGGATGAGTTGATGACAAAGGTAAATGGTCATATCTCTTACAGAGTTTGTTGAGTCTAGTTGTATTGAAGTGTAATGCATGATGTGTGTTTGCTTTTCAATCCTTGCAGAAAATATGCGGAAAAGGATAAAATGGCCTTAAAAATTCTGCTGCGAATGTGGAAACTACCAAATGCAATGATCGTGAGAGGACAAAATAGGGAATAGTATAGGGAGGTTGATAAAAATATTTGGTATGGCCAGAGGGGTTTTACAGTGTTGCACATCTAAATAATATGGCTGTTACAGTCTAGTCTGTGAAAGCCCAGCAAGAGTGATGTGAATAAGTATACAGATGCCAGCCTATGAATAAAAATAGATAAAGGCTGAACAATTCCAGTGTCTTTATTATATTAGTGGTTGATAATTTAGCAGAAAATAGGATGTTGTGCATCTAACCTAGGAATCGTAATGTTCTGAAATGATTAATTCATGAGTGATATGCTCACAGCAAAATGCAATCATTGTTGGGGTATTTCCTGTCGCTATTAGAGATCATGGTAGAAAGTGGAATGGAAAGACCAAAGCTAATGGCTCCTTGTGAGCCAAATCACTTGTTCTTGGGAGGAAGGGATTTTTCTGAGAATCTAGGTACAGGTTCTTAGGCCTTGTTCTAGTTTCATTTTACTGTGAAGTAAGCAGCTCCAACAAAGTCAGTGGTGTTACTAGTATAAAAGATGCTTAAAACTTCAGTTGCTTCCTCAGAAGGCTGTCTGCAGCTGCCAGGGGACACAGCTACTTTTGACAAATGTAAGAGATTATAAGGATTCTTCATGCAATTGCAAGTTAGTCCAAACAGAGGCTTCCCTCTTCTTCTTGTAGTTTAACTGATCCAGAAACCATAGCATCGTTTACCTACATTCTTACAACCATGTTACTCTTCTGCAAAGCTAGAAGATGCAGAAGTGAAAGTTCATATCAAATACGTAAAATAAGCTTCTCAAGAGCCTTCCCTAGTTAAAAGTCAGATAATAAACATGATGAGTGATGAATTCTACAAGATAGTTTCTTATACATTTCTGATACAAGGAAGAGTCTTTCTGTAAGATTTTCTTTTTTTTAAAAAATAAGAAAAGTGCTACAAGATTTTATGCACATATACTTAATGTGAGTTATTCAGCAAAACAGAAATTTCTGATGTGTGAGGCCTTAGTTATGCTTTTCTTTAAGCTAAACCACCAGGGCTGGGCCATGATGTATCTGAAAGTTTTGCAAGGGTAAAATACAGTTCCTTCTGCAGGTGGGGCTTTTCTTTTTCCCCTGCTGCAAACATATACAAGTGATAATTAATGAGCAGCAGAGGTTTTCAAGCTTTAGAAACAAATGTGTTATTATGTCTTTGAGTAGCCTATGTCACATGCTATGATATCTAAAAAGACTCCCCCGCCACTAAAATACTCTAACAAATCACATCCCTGTTTCTTACTTATCCACTCTGGTTAAAATCACTGGCAGAAATTTTTGCTTTGAGTAATGCTAATTAGCTGAAAATCTAATACTTACTCTTGCAGGTATGGTATTTACATGTGGACACAGACACGTACTAGTACTGTATCATTAAAGTATCTCTCATGTTAACCAAACCAACTAATGTGCAAGTTTTAGCACCATGTTCCCCATAACTCCCTGCTGGCCAATGTGTTTTGCCCCTGATGAAAAACAAACTTCTTGTTGAGTTATATATATATGTCCCCTTGCCTTATTCTGAAAAATAATATTTGTCTTACTGCACAAGATTTAAAGTGAAAACAAATGCACCATGAATTTAGGTGCAAAGAAAGAATTGTGATATTTTGATTTTCTGATTCAAAAAAAAGCTTGATCTTCAATGTGTCTTCATTCAGAACTCTGTAACAGGACTTAATTCAGTGTACAAGTATGACTGAGACACTTCATTATTTTACATATGCATATATAGATATAATTATTTAGATATTCCTACAGTGGGAAAATTTTGCACTAAAGCAATACAGTTCCAAGAGGACTATTTTTTTTCCCCTTAAATGAGCATATTAGTAACAGCCTGGAGGGAAAAGTTAAAAGATTAAAAGCACAGGACCAGCATGGAAGCTTCTTAATGAATGCCTCATTACGGTCGGGAAAGGGAAACCAAAGGCAGAACAGAAAACAGTACGGGTAACTAATAAAGTACAGACCAAAAAAAAAAAACAAACTTTAAAACAGTAATACAGCTGAGCCCAACAGAAAATAGTAGCATAGTAAAGGTTAGCAAATATAGGCCTGATTGTGCTTTCACGTGCACAGAGCTTTTATTTAAGGCAGATCATATGAGGGCTACAAGGAAATTTGATATTTAGCCAAGTATAAATACAAGCGATGTATTTAGGTTTATGTAATTTAGTGGGACTGGAATGGTGCTAAGGGGTTAATCAAAAAGAATGGAGGTCAAATACAGACGCCTTAATCCAAGCCAGTGTGAAAGCCATTATCACCCATGATAAAACAGACACCCTGATCCCCAGTGCTTTGTCTGGAAGGCAGCACACCTAGTGGAATTACAACAAAACAGATACTCTGCCAAATTTACAGCTTGTTTCCTATTTTTTTTTTTTCCCCGAAGTAAAATTTATTAGTTGATTTGAAAATAAATTTGGTAACCTGTGAACCCTTTACTGTCCTGTCCACCCCCAGATGCTCTTTGCAGGTACTGAGGACCAGCAATAGAGGTGGCCAAATCAAGAAGGATGGGACAACCCAAGAAGTGAAAGGTCCTTGTGTTTTCTCTTTTTAATGACCATTCCAAGCACTTTACACTTACACTTTCCAGTTGCAATAGATTACTGAAGAAAATAACTTTCCTAGTGGCTAGACAGCAGGTGCCTAACTGTTATAGGTGGAGTGTGAGCTCATCTGTGGTGCTGTGACCAGCGCATCTTGGATCAGGCAGAGTCTTGGTTCTCAAGCAAATTCAATGGTACAAATGCATGGAAAAGGTAGCACGGTGCAGTCTGAAAGGTCTTATGTGAGCTTTACTTGTGAAACTTTAATTGTGAAAATTACTAATTGACCTGAGAGGATGCTTGGATCTGCAACTGTCCTGTACTGATATGCCTTTTTTATAAGATAGGTGGTAAAAATGGAAGAGCGCGATAAAAGGTATTTAAACTTAAAGTATTCTTGAACCCTTCTCCATAAAGTGCTCTCTAGAAGGCCTGTCTGTTGAGAAACCTGAATTAAGGCCTGGTTTGAGGAAAACTATAATTATTTTATCAAGGAAAGCTGTTAATAAAGCTAATAGTAAAATCATAGAGAAATCAACAGTAGCTAGAGTCCTGCTTTGAAAATAACTATTTATGCCCTCCCTGTGCCCTCCACTTCTGATTATCCTACACCAAGGAGAAAACCTGCGGACAGAGAAAATCCTAACCAACTGCCAACACCTCAGTGCTGTCAGAAACATCTCTATCCCCAGCAGCTCTTGTACTCAGAGAGGGAGGGGAAAAAAAAAAAAAAGGAAAATTGTTGTGAACTTTTAGGCAGGGCTAAGAGGAGCAGGAAAGAAATGAGGAGAGAAAGAAGATAAGGTGAGAAAGAGTAGGATTTTATCAAGAATAAGATGAAAAGGAGAAACCCATGCTGCTGAGAATCCCTGGCAGAGAGGGTTGTACATGGTTTCTAAAAAAAAAAAAAAAAAAGTCCAGGCATTTTTGTACATTCTGTGCTGACTGCTTCGAGCACAGGGTCTGGCCAGGCTGTGAGGATGCTCAAGCAGGGTTAACTGGAGGATAACTGCCAACAGGACATTTTTAGGGAAGTCAGCTCCTGCATTTATCAAGAAAGACCCAGCTGTTCAGTGGTTTTCTGGAATGTTTTACTACTTGCACGGGTGTCTCTGAGCTAGAAACACTGAGGCACAGTACTTTCATTCAGTGTATCCCTCAGTTTTCCACCAACTGAGGGAACTCAGGAATGCTGTTTTATATTCTATTTATGTTCTTATACTAAATCTATTGATTTTTATATTCCATTAGCCAACAATGTATCAGTAGCTAGCAAATTTGTACACTCCAGAAATAGAGAGGAATGAAGAATCAAGCAGTCAGAAAAGACTTGGTTAAAATTGGTCGTTTGGTTAAATCATTGGGTTTTTTCTGGCCTTTTAGAGACCTTTTTAAGCCTTGCTCTCTAACAGTGAAATACCAGCTAAATCTTCGTCCTGTCCAAATTCAATAACAATTTCTTTAGCTATTGCTAATGTTACCTTTTGCTGTAGCTTGCTTTTTGCTTCGTCTTCAATCATGCCACTCACTGACGCGCTGCCGGTCTGATCTCTCTGTCCTGCTGTGAGGTTATCTTCGGTTATTACCCATTTTCCGTCCCTATAAGAGAAACACTACTCAACTACAATAAAAGCAGATAAACACCACAAATAGTAACCAAGTGTTCTTGCTAGCATTTTTATATGTAGTGGATACCTGGACAGTTTTGCTATCGAGCGCAAACCAAATGGAATGAAAATTGTAAAAGGCATCTGAGAGCCTCAAATTTCCAGTACTTTTAGATGATGGGGCAACAGCAAACAGTAACAGCATGCCATTCCGAGCTTTAAATTTTCCTACCCCTGGTTACGATCCAGTTGAAACCCCAAAGTAATTTTAGTCTAATCTATCATTTATCTGAAGATAAGTCAGTAAATGATTAGACCAGCCATTCTATTTCATATGCACTTTGCCTCAAACAACCACAGCTGTTAGGATTTACAATAAAGATAACATCTTAACTTACTTGTTACAGTTGAGGTAAAAAGCAGAGTATGAGTATCATAATTTCTATTATTTGCCAGATTGGTTAAATTTCTTGCAATGTTTAAAAAAAAACACAGATTTGTCTCAGGTACATCTTTCATTGTTTGCTTTGCCAAAAGATGATTTTTAGAAGATGATATAAAATACAGTATAAATGCTTTGAGTACAAAGACTTGTGGGTAGATAATGTGTTTTGGTAAAAGAGATTTTATGAGACAAACCTCTTGATGAAAAGTGAACTAAAAAAAAAATTGTGGTTAGCAAAAGCTTACTGACTTTTCTATCTTGCAGCATTTTTGAGACCCCAGGGAAGAGATTTGAAAGAAGATGATGAGTAACTTTCTGTGCAATAGCAGTGGTATACAAGAAAACAACCTTTCTGGCCTTGGCACTCAGCAGATTGCTGTGTCTGGGCCTCCTGCACAAGGTCGATGCATCTTTAAGTTCCGCAGGTAAGTTATGTTGCAGCACACTCATTTCTCCAATGTGGTTGAACTCAACCTGTGCTACATGCAAAAATCTCTACTTTGCATAAAGTGTTAGTTACAGAACTGAAAACAGATCCTTGAAAACAGGATTGCACTTCTACAATGAAACCTATAACCCTACATAAGTAGCTGGCATTCAAAACTCTCAGCAATAGAAATTAGCCTCTGCTTATTCCCATTAGCCTGGTAGAAACCAACACTATGGGTGCTATGGGGATTGGAGGATAAGTTTTCCCTCTTACCTGTCTTTACCAGTGATCCATATTTCCAGCTTTGTCTTTAGAACTCTGCAATATTTCTAAAACTTTTAGTGATGCTCTGCAGTTATCTCACCTAGTTTCTTAAACGAGATCCTAACAGTGCAGAGGCTGGCATTTTAAAAATCACATAGCTTTCATGAGTAGGAACTGTCCACAGATTGCAGATGCTATTCAGGAACACTGCAAAACTGTTATTTTTTTATTTGGGGGGAGCATATGGCAGAACACAGTAACAGCATTAGCACAAAGGACCATTTCTGAGGAAACTGTTGCACAACTAAGAGTGCGAGGCACGAACATGGACAGCAAGCTAGATAAGGCTGAAGACTGAAACAAGATTAGCTAAATCTCTAGTCTTTGAGTAAACATGTAAAACTCTACAATATATGTAAAAATATAAAGTGTTCAAAACCAGATAACAAGACTGGGAGTTTTACAGCATGCCTGCATAGCACAGCACTGAACTGATAATTCCTTAGCTCCTTGCTATATACTTCAAGAGCATGGACCACTTTTCCCTTCCCTGCACAGAAAGGAGCCCATGCAACTCAGCTGCTACGGCCGTAGCAGCCAGGCTGTACCCTGTGCAGTTCCCAGAGGTAAGCACATCCCTGGCAACTTCGAAAGGATTCTGAGATCACACTTCGTGGTAACATGATGGTTTAAAATTGTAGGATGGAAAATAGTTCCCAGAATTTGCAAGAGGGCTAAAGCGTAATAGTAAGTGTAACTACTATTTAATTGGGATTAGAATCTAGATGTATTAAGTGCTATGAATAGTCTAGATGAACTAAGTGTTCATTTTGTTTGTTTTTTTCCCCCCCTGTTTCTGATCTCAGTCATACAGATCTACCCCCACAGAATAAATCTTTTTTGCTACATCCACGCAGTTTTATTTATGTGCCTGAGCTGTCTACATTCTGGATAAGGAGACAGCCATTTTTTAAAAAAAAAAACTTCCAGACTTCTCTTTATGTAGCACTTAGGGCGCTAGAAGTGCTCTGTTGCTTGGTTGCCAATTTTCTTGTCACAAATAGTTTTTGCAAGTTTTTTGTGTTTTTTTTTTATTATTATTTATTTTTCTCTCCAAATATGCCATTTGGCCACTTTTTTGGCATATCTAATATTCTGTGCAGGTGGATATATTTGTATGTTAGTGAATCTTGATAGTCCATTCCTCCAACTCAACTTTAGGTGTAATATATTCAGAATAAGTTTTAGCCTATTTCTTCTCTTACTGAGGTGTCTCTTAAAGATGATAACCAGATTTGGCCAAAAAAAAAGTACAATATAAACTCAATCAAATGTAATATTTGATTGTAATAGTGCATTAAAATCCATGATCTCTTTTGAACCCAGGATAGAACTTGACCTTTTATGAAATCATCAGGAGAGAAAACAAGATAAGTTGTTGGATTTGTACGTTCAGGGCCTCAGGAATAAAATGGAGGTTTTTTCACAGTTTGATTAGATGCCTTAAAATGTGTGCAGTCATACACTAAAACACATTATGAATATTCCAGGTGACACTATTGGCTCTGTATCTCAAGAAGGTTTGGAGGAAAAAAAGGAGTAACCAAATGAGGATAATTTGTGACTATTTAAAACACTTCCAACAGACTACGCTTTTTGCATAATAAGAATTTAACCGGGACAGTGTCGTGAAAGTTTGTATAACTTTAAGTTACCCTATTAATTAGTGGAGCTGTAAAAGTACCAGCGAAAAGGATCCCTGAAACGTTTTCCTTTAACAAACACAGAGGATAAGTTTACCACAGTGCAGGAAACTTAGAAGTGTAGGAAAATGCTGTAACTGCCTCTGAAATAAAACTTTCAGTGTGAGGCTCTCCAACATGTCCATGTGTGCATATGCAGTCCCTACACTTCAACAGAATTGGTCTGGAATATGTAGTTAAATCACTACCTCCGTCTTTTGTATCTGCCTCTTTTTAGAATACTACCAAAAATGACAAAAAGAAATTGAATATATCAGATATTGAGTATAATTCAACCAAGAGATAAGACAAGAATACAAATGTTTTTCCTGTTCTAAGAGAAATATAGGAACAGGTTGTGCTGCTGTGATATTTTAAACAGAGAGGTAGCACACTCCTCATTCGGGCAGTGCTGCAGATACTAGCACTTCTGGCTGGTCTTTTCTGGCTTCAAAAGGGTAATTTTCTAGCTACCCTTTCCAGGTGCTGTCCGGCCCACGCAGGGCACTGGTACCCAGCAGAACACAGGGCATCTTGCACCGTTGGGAAAGGGCTGCTTGTGCTCTCCTCCAGTGAGCAAAGAACTATGTTTGCATCTCCTAGCTGGACAAAAGAGGAGGATCGCAGCAACTATATCCAATTTTCATGATAAACACGATTTTGTCTTTCTAAATTGTACAGGACCAGTTTGCTTTCCCAGTTTAGTAACATACGCTGTGAAGACATAACTGATATTTTGACTGCTATGTAGTTCAATTGTATAGAGAAAAAATGTATGGAAATGCCAAGATTCTGCTGGAAAGGCAGGAAGTTAAAATTAAGAAATGAACAAAAAAATTACTTTGTGGACTCAGTTTTTAAAAGATGCAGTGATTTGAAAGACTATGATGGAAACAAACAGAAGGGACTGCCATAGTGAGGAGCATGCAACATTTGTGTCTCACAAACAGAGCTGTGAGAGCCTTTTTACATCACCCCGGTAATTACCTGCTTCAGGCCATACCCAATATTCCTTGTTCAGGCAAAATCTAATCATGTTAGTGGTACAGGTTCCTAGAACTAAGTGAAAAGAAAATGGCAAATGCTCCAAAAATAACAATATATATAAAAAAAAATCCGTAGTATTATCACTTTTTAAGGCTTGCAATTTTACTGAACCCGATTTGGAGACCGCCCCATGCTACACAACACAGGAAAACCTAAACAAGTCATCTAAGTGATGGAAATTTACAGGGAACTGTAGCACGCTCTGGACAGAATCCGGCTGTCATTTGTTTCCATATAGCTCACTAAATCCAGGGAGGTAGCGGGAATATAAAAATAGGCGTAATCTAATCCTGCAAATTACTGTTTGCGCATACTATGAACTGATTGATTTACCTACTTACTGGTATGTCATAAGAATATATATGGTCTGTGGATGTAGGTAACTGATAAAATCTAAGCACTTCAAAGTATGGGAAGCAGGAGAATAGTAAGTTGCATAAACTGACCTGGACTTGCTGAAGAACTCTAGCCCTGCTTCATTTTTGAGCATCCAAGATGAGTTTGGAAGCTGGGTTTTAACTTCTGGTGATTAAAAAAAAAAAATCTGAGTGCAGATTACTCCATTCCTGTAGAAACGGCATACAGTCTCATTAGGGACAGTGCTTGCTACAAAATTTAGAAGAAAGCAGTGGCTAAAGTTTAAAAATTGTACTTTGAGAGGTGTTTGTACAAGTCAAAAAACACTCAGTATCCCCTGCTTTAGAGGGGGGATGCTTTAAATTAGTTTCTATCATGGATTTAGTGGATTAACTGTGATGTGAGGGGCTCCTCTGGCCCCAAGTAGAGGTGAGAGGGTGGCTGCACAGGCTGTCAGGAAGCGGCTGATGTCTAAGGGGCTACTGCTCCAAGGGCCATGCCTGCTGTCAAATGGTCTTCTGCAGCTTGAGCCTGGTGACAAGGCAGCAGACACAGCTCATGCACAGGACCTGGCCAGGAGTTTGTGAGCCGGGACCCTTTAGCTGTCTTCAAGGTAAGCAAGGGGGGCTGAGAGAGCAGCGAGCCGGGGAGCAGCATCTCGATGCCTGCGCTTTGCCCAGGAGAAGGGCTTGTCCTTGCCAAC